TATGTGAGGGAGATGTTCGCAATTACTTTCGCCGTTAGCAAATGGCGTCAGTATCTCCTTGGCTCACACTTCCTAATTCGGACGGATCACAAAAGTTTGCATAACCTGATGAATCAGGTCATCCAAACACCAGAGCAACAACAATTTCTTGCGAAGCTCTTAGGTTTCAATTATACGATCACATACAAGAGCGAAAAAACCAACGTTGTGGCCGACAGCCTATCACGGATTCCTGACGGGGGAACGAGAATTAAAACCCCCCCACCTCCTAGCCATTACTGGCCCAGTACTACACCATACAAAATTATTACAGTCCGAATACATGGCTGATCCCTATGCTACAATGCTCATTAAAGAAATTACAGAACGCCCTAATGACTTGGCTGATTGGCGTTTTCGCAATGGCATTCTCTTCCACCGCTCCATAATATTTCTCCCTGCTGGATCGACCCTGATTCAACATGTTCTCCATGATTTTCACAGCTCAGTTCAAGGGGGTCATTCCGGAATCCCCGCTACAACGCACCGCATCTCCAGGAATTTCACCTGGAAAGGATTAAGAAGAGATGTTAAGGCTTTTGTTCTTAGTTGTGATATATGTCAGAAACTAAAATCCCCAAATCACCCACCCCTGGGACTTTTACAGCCCTTACAAATACCGGACAAGTTATGGGCTGATTTAAGCATGGATTTTATCACCCATTTACCTGTGTCTTCGGGCCACACATCTATCCTGGTCGTTGTTGACAGATTCTCCAAGGCGACCCATTTCATTGCACTTCCCAGTCATTACTCCGCAATTAAGGTTGCACAGCTCTTTTGGGACTTTGTCGGGAAGCTTCATGGGTACCAGAGTCTATTGTCTCTGATCGTGATCCGATATTTCTCAGTGACTTCTGGAGATCCTTATTCAAACTGCTGGGCACAAGTCTCAAATTTAGTTTCAGTTACCATCCTCAACAGAAAGGGTTAACAGGTGTTTAGAGAGTTACCTTCGCGCGTTCTCGCACTCCCATCCATCTTCATGGTCCAATTTTTTAAGTCTAGCGGAGTATCATTATAACACTTCATTCCATTCCTCCACCGGCATCACTCCGTACCAAGCCATGTTTGGGCGAACTCCTCCAAACCTTATAGCTTACTGTTTAGGGTCATCACCAAATGAAGCTGTCGAGACCACCTTATCCGAGCGCATGCACCTCATAAGTACATTGAAAGAAAACTTGTTCAAAGCTCAACAGACAATGAAAGCTCAGGCGGATAAAAAAAAGAAAAGACTGGATTTTTACCTCGGGTGATCTGGTTTTGCTTCGTCTACAACCTTACAGACAACTTTCCGTAGCGAGATGTTCATCTCAAAAGTTGGCACTACGATACTATGGCCCTTTTGAGGTAGAGGAACGCATCGGAACCGTGGCTTACCGACTGAAGCTTCCTCCGACAGCTCGCATACACCCCATGTTCCACATATCAGCATTGAAACCTTACCGTTCCAACCTTTCTCTAAAGATCCACCTCCTTCCCATCGCAGCAACAGACACTCCTCTAATACATAAACCTTGTGCCGTGGTAGGGAGCGGCAGATCTGGCGACGTGGTGTACTAGTACCACAAGTCTTGGTCCAGTGGGAGGCACTTCCTTCGAAAGACTCGACATGGGAGGACAAAGAGGAATTTGTGACATCTACGGGGCAAACTCAGAAAACAACCTCAGGAAGAGAGGTAGTGGAACATACTGCGGGTATGGACTCCAGTATTCCAGAAGCTAAGGGCTCAAGTGACTAGACTTTGGAGACGGAAGAGAAAAAAACGAAGGGACTCAAGTGATGGGAACAGATGAAGACAACACTGACCAGTTCAACTCTAATGGTCTTAAACACCTAACTTTTCAGCTACCAGCATCGACGGACCACAATGCCTTGCCCTTGTCGGTTCAATCTGAACCACACAATACCGCTGTTGGATCCCAGCTGGCACGCAGCACTTCAAAGGCATCAACGATTCAGTTTCAATCTCCAGTGTCGGCAAGCGTTCAACCGTTGGATTCCCATGCCGTGTCCCAAGACCAATATGCTCAGCTTTTAATGCCCTTTAATGTCCCACTGACCAAAGCGTATCATCAAATCCCAAGTGTTACTGACGAGATCAGACTTGAGGACAAGTCTGGAATTGCAGCGGAGGGTGATGTAACGGGCCCTAACACAAGCCCAACAACTTCAACCGGCCAGCGTGTAAGGAGGAAGCCCACTTATTTTCAAGACTTTGTCATGGGCTGATTAAGTGACAAAGCTTTTAGGATTTCCATTTCAAGTTACCACAGTATGTTAGAATTGAATATCCACACAGATGCAAGAGACAACCATACTTGTGTATCTACAAAAAAACTTTTCTTTTCTATTCTTGCTTTCTTGCTCTTTTTCTTTTTCTCTTGATCTACATTTCATACAAACTATCAAAGGCTATTTATAAGCTATAAAACTGACCAACATAACTCCACACATAACACCTCATTACTTTATAACTGACATAACTGACTCATTAATATTCTAACTGACATAACTGACTCATTAATATTGTAACTGACACAAGAAACTAAATAACCAAAACTGCTAAAAAACGGACATTAAAAATTTATCCCAACAAAACTCCCCCTTAAATTTTAATTCTTCTTTTTTGAATTTTCCACCGGTTGATTTTTTTTTCGCACTGCTTCCATGTTGCACTCCTTTCTTCAATTTTTTTTTTTTTTGTCCGGCGGTTCCTTCATTGGTGGAAGATAGACAATCTTGAATTTTTCTCCGCCGACCTCATCCTCCGATATACTTCCACATCCATTCTTACACGTATGATCATCACACAAGTCATCATACTGATCAGTATCTGTATCACTATAACGTCCCATTAGTTTTACAACACCTATGCCAATTTTAATACTTTCAGATTCAACATGTGCTACATTAATAGCACGTTGGGCCTCTTTAACCACAGTAACCCCATCACTCATTGAGGACCGTTGATTCCCATCATCAAGCAAATAACTCAACGCGTCATTTTCTGATTCCGCCCCACGATCTTCTTCTGGTTTACGCTTGAGCCAAAATGATTCCACCATAAAAGTAACTCTAGGCTCCTCATCGCCGGGTTCCCTATCCACAATCACACTTTCCATTTTTCTGTCGTTCTCGGCTCCTTCATTGCCGTCTTCCTCGCACCTCCTCAATGGCATCTCGGACCAGCGACCTATGCCGGTCGCCGACGTCGACCTCGTCACACCGGGGTCGAAATCTCTTCCAAAACATGAACTCGGTGATTTAGCCAGGATCTACCCCATCACGGTTATCAACATGAGACTCAGATTCGCAGTCTCCTCCAAGTCGGTCTCCATCAAGCATCTCGGATTTCACGCTTCTCGTTCCTTTGCTGGCTTCTCAAGCTCCTTCGACATCTCATCTTCTTCCTTATCCTCTCTATCCGTCTTCTGAATTGACTCGCCGCTCTCAGCGTCTTCGATCTCGGCTCCTATAGCCGCAATCATCGTCTTTTTCTCTGATTCATCTTTCTCACGCTCCAACGCGTCGATCTTCTCCGCGGATACGTTGCCGTTGGTAACCTCGGATTCCGCCATCTCGGTTTCTTCTTCATCCGCATCATTCTCCTCATCTTCATCATCATCATTGAAGATTTCATCTTCTTCATTAATCAGATCAAAACGTCCAGGCAAGTATTTTGTTATGAAGGCCATTAGAAAATCCTTCCACATATTATTAAAGTCGCGGCAGTTCCATGTACGAAACCATTTGATTGCGCTTCCTCTGAGTCTTCTCATGGCTACCTGCCATTTGTCCTTCGTCCAGATTTTTTCTTTCCGAAAATGTTCCTTCAAACAGAGAAGCCAATCTAATGCTTCATCCTTATCTCCATGGAAGAGTGGCACCTCTAACTCGCTCTTTTTCTCCATAGCTCTGATACCAATTTGTTAGAATTGAATATCCACACAGATGCAAGAGACAACCATACTTGTGTATCTACAAAAAAACTTTTCTTTTCTATTCTTGCTCTTTTTCTTTTTCTCTTGATCTATTTGATCTACATTTCATACAAACTATCAAAGACTATTTATAAGCTATAAAACTGACCAACATAACTCCACACATAACACCTCATTACTTTATAACTGACATAACTGAGTCATTAATATTCTAACTGACATAACTGACTCATTAATATTATAACTGACACAAGAAACTAAATAACCAAAACTGCTAAAAAACGGACATTTAAAATTTATCCCAAGCCCCTTATTGTAATAGCCCACTAGTTACTATTTTCAAAGACATTGTATTACACTTTGATGATTTAAATAGTATCTGAGCCCAATAATGAAGTATGAGAATTATTCAGAATTTCTTCCTCTCTCTATTCTCTTCTCTCCTTCCTCTTCTTGCTATCTTACCCTTAAATTCAGATCTGTTCCTGTTACAAGCTGCGAACCAAAAAGGTGATGCGGTCCAAAGAGAGAGAAAACATATAACTTAAGACAGATAGAATTAGAGGTGTGGGATCAAATGTATTTTTTATTATTTTAATGTATTGTGTTACAGAAAAATTAAATGATAGGCGATAGGCAATAGGCAATATCTTCCATTCATGTTATAAATTCGGTAATACTGCTCGTTTACTGCATGCAAGCAGTAGCAGTAGCTAGTGAGAGAGCAGTACCTGAAAGAAAATTTTAAAGATAAAATGTAAATCAGAAAAAAAGAGAGGAAAAGAGCATAGTGGAAAAATCCCCAGAAATGGTCACTCAGAAATCAGAATACATGCTGATGGTGCAAATCGCAAGCAGAAAGCACAAGGGCAGATTTTTTTGTTTTTTATTTATTATTTTTCCCGTTGAATTTAAAGGGACAGATAACAAAGAGTAACAAAACAATAAAATTATCAAGTACATACGGAGTTACAAAATATAGCTCCAATTTCTCAAGAAGCCAGTAAATTGAGTTAGTCACTGATATGATATTTATCAGTCTTGTGAGCTAAGAGAATCCAAACATGAGTTATCAAACCTCCACCTCTTCTTATTTGTTCTGAGTGATAATCTATAGAGCAATTAGCTGCAGCATAACACAACATCTCCACCCACACACTACATATAATCTGCCATCTGTTTTCCCTGACCATCAAATTCCTACCCAGTCTCTGAGCATCCCTCATCATACGCCATTTTGATGTGACAACAGTTTCTGATTTCCTCTCAGAATTCAAATACTGAGGAATTCTTTCCATTCTCAAAATCCTACTACATGCTTCTTTTTCATCTTTCACAGATAGTTGTTCTTTTTGTAACAACAACAAGGCCTTGAGTTTGTCATAGGCGTGTTGAAATATTATGTTGGCAGTGGTCATGGAAAGCATGTGAGGACGCATAGCTAGAAGGTACATCATATAATTTGACAATAATTTGGCTATTTGGATTTTGGGGTTTCCAGCATTGCATTGAGAATCTGAATAATAGCATATATCTGTTGCAATGTGCCATATGGTAATGCTCTTGTCAAAATCTCTTTTAACACTCCATTTGAAATCATTGAGAGAACCATACCTTCCTAGTGACCATTCCCCCCTTTGGTTGAAGGGCTTTAGTCCTCTGTGTTCATCAATATCTCTCATTTCTTGAACTATCAAAACCTTCAATTCTTGGGGAAATTTTATACGTGTCCTACTCTTATTCTTTTTCAAACCCATGTCAATCCCCCGGAATTTGAAAAAATTTCCACACTTCAATGGCTTGTCATGGACACAAAAACTCAGCAAGTTGAATTGTGGCAATGTATTTGACCACCTTTTCCAATTGCTTGCTCTTGGTCCAAGAATTCTGAGGCATGGAATCATAAATGGAAGATTATGGTGCTTGATCATTTGAATTATAGCCCAATCTGAGAAGGGTAATTGTGCAATCTGGTATGCCTCCATAAGTACAGCTCCTGCTAACACCCCAACTATAAAGCAAGCTTTCCAATGGCGCGAAAAGTCATGTTTGAATATGAATGAAAATCCACACAAAGTTAGAACTAAATTGAGGAAACTTACAACACGAAGAAAGCAACCTAGTTTGGTGTAGATTATTGGTGCTTTAGTGTACAACACATCATACATGAAGCTCAATTCTGCATCTGTGATATGGAAGATGTCATCTGGTGCATACTCATCTATGGACATTCCGGGAAGAGTTTCATATAGAGGCTGATAGAGCCAGTTTTCTCGGTGAGGCTTCAATGAGATAAAGCGATAATATGCCTTCAAGATCAATTCTATGTTGGGAATATCCTCAGGAAGGTATCTGAATAACGCAGGCATGTTTGCTTCTTGGTCAATCTCTTGAATTGTGATTATGCCAGATCTTTTACTAAGAGATGATTTGAGAGCCCAAACAACTTCTCCATACTTGATTAGTCCAGATACTAATAATGGAAGGTAGAGATAAGAGAGTTCTGAATGTGTCCAACTCTTCATAATGATCCAAATCACCACAGCTACTTGGAAAACAAGGGTTAGTAATTGCCTCAATCCCAATCTATTATCTTCAATTGAGTATGCTGTTATGGCATCTGGATTTCCAATTTGAACCAGAAGTAATGGTGCAAACAATGCCTTCAGTTCGCGTCGGATATTGCGTTCATTTGGATCACTTCCAGGTATTACCGTGAGCTTTCCTATGATTATTTTTGCTAAGGAAGCAGAGAGCAAATAGGTAAACCAAACAGTGAGCCTTATCCACATACCTGGGATGTCCTTTCTGCGGCTGCCATAGACTGTGAGGATGATTTGGATGGTGAAACTCAATAGCACAAGTACTTCTAGACCCCAAAGATTCCATAGGCATTGTAGTTGTCCTGGGATGAATGTTATGTGCATGTTTTCTTTTTCAGTTCTACCAATTGTTCAAATGCTGCAGAAGAAGTAAGTATAACCACAAATTAACTTTTTGGCAAACATTTTCAATCCCCAACTTGCAAGAGTATGCAGGGTCAATTGTACAGAGCCTTAGTCTCACAATTTTTACAAAGAGAATATGAATTGAATTCGTGACCTTCCAGTCACAAGAAATAACCTTACCGTTGCTCTAAGGTTCACTCTTATTGTAAAAAATCAAATCAACTCAAAAGCTTAAACTATTGGATGAGGTTACATTAATGGTTTTATATATCTCTAACACGCCCCTCTCATACAAGAGTTCATTGGGTTTGAAGTGTGGATAATGCATTAGGCCCAGCCTACCTGTACTAAGAAATTCCACAAGAGAAAGTTGAGAGTGGTGAGGATCGAATCCGTGACATTGAGACTCTGATACCATGTAAAAAATCAATTCAACCCAAAAGCTTAAACTATTGAGTGAGGCTACATTAATGGTTTTATATATATCTAACACTCACAAAAATGAAAATAAGGAAATGATATGAGCATACAAGTATACAATGACAAAAAAAAAAAAAAACATAAAAATGTAAGCAGTTAGAATGCAAAACCTGATCAACTTTCTTCTAGGTTCAAGAAACAGTTAGATGTTGCAGCAACCATGAGAAAATAAATACATGGAAGGACTAAATTAACTCTCATCCAAAGTATATAACTTTATGACATAGGAATTTTTAGAACAAGGATTCAGTTAAAATTAACAGTAGTTTATAATTAACTCTTCAGTCGACAACTCTAGTGTCCAGGAGATATGAGCAAACTACAAACATGAGGCGAACTTTGATGCTCTGCTAATTTGTCAGAAACCTTTTCTTAAACTGCAAGATAATGTTAGTCTCTGTAGATAACTTGCGTAAAACACCTATTACATAGGTTATATCTTCATGATCCTAAACTTGTAATGTTTCTGTTCATTAACGTGCAGCAATTTGGGATGCTTGCCTTAGTATTAGGCTAATAGCGCATTGGCAATCTTTTCAGAACTTGAAACCTTTTTCTTACGCCATAGTTCACATGAATCTTGAGCACCTAAACATTTCTTTTCTTCGGGATAACTGGGTTGATTAAATATATATGTATATATACAGGGAAAAGTTATATTTACAAACTTTTTATTTACAAATTACACTAAGTATGACCGGTTATACTTAGAGTGTATCACCGGTCATACTTAATGTAATTTATAAAAAAAATTTATAAACGGATCCTTCGCCGTATATATATATATATATATATATATATATATATATATATATATATAGACATAAATCGATCCTTCTGACTTTCATTATTAAGGAATGGAGATTTTAGATTACTAAATGCTACTATCATTGGATTGGTTGCCACATTTTAAACAAAGTGTTGGTTAATAATCAAGGTATTATTGTAGTAGAGATCCAATAATGCAATGACAATTAAAGGAAGATCAAGAAAAAGCAAAAAGAGGAAAACTGTTTGCTTTGTGCATAAGGCATGTCTGTTTCTGAGTAATACTATAATATTGTCCGATTATTTTGATAGGAACCATTGCTAAATCGGCGACCACTGGAGTCACGTGACCAACAGATAAACAAGTGATTCTTGTGCTTGTCGCACCAGTTCAGTATTAGGAGATAAATAAGGGGCTGTTTGATTTCTAAAAACAACTTCTTAGTTTTTAGAAATAAACATAAATTTGTTTGAAAATAATTATTTTATAAAAATGACTCCAAAATAATAATCATGGTTTAATTTCAAAATTAAAATTGGAGAATAATTTAGAGATATTTTCAAAAATTGTTTTTAATTTTCTTATTTTTACAGGGATAATTTTATAATTATAAAAATTTATTAATAACACTTTTATAAAAAAAATTCAGCTTCTTCTTAATTTTAAATTATTTTACCATGACAATTTTATAATTATGAATGTTCATCAATGATATTTTTATAATTAAATCTAACTTTATTTTTGTAACTTTAGATTCAATTATACACAAATAAATTTTATTATTTTTTTACTTTCAAAATCAATTTTTTTTTAAGAATAAATTTGAAAATTATAAAAATAAAATAAAATTCAGACTTAGATTTCAATTGTTTCAAGGAAAAAAAATTAGAGTTCCGCTCATAAAAGGAAAATGGTACTTTACGTTACATTATTGTACAAGTCAGTTTAATCCTAATTATAAAATCTTTATAGAATATTTGACACAACTTTATCCAGTTAGGGATAGTGCTATATGCCAATCGAGTCATATAAAACATTTAAAGTTTAAGTTTGATTCATAAAAAAAATTATTAAAAATTATTCATATATTTAAAGGGATTAATGTGTCTCTTCCAAATAGGAGAGAATTTATCTCCTACTCACATATGGGAGTAGATGAGCACTATGAAGGAAAAGAGAGAGAAAAAGAGAGAGAAAGAGAGTGTTATATTGTTACGAACCCACCTATGGGCCCAATAACTAAGAGAGATAAGGAAAGAATCTAGCTAGTAAGATCTCAATTTTATCATATTACTAATGGATCAATGGACTTTCAATATTCCTTAGAGGTACAGAATTTCACTTCTACCATTAGTAACCATATATTAATAAGAGGTTGGGTCTATATGTACGCTATTTGAACTCCATACTCTCTTAATTGTCACTCTGCATATACTCCACACCTTTAGCTATACGCCTGTATTATTATGCATAGTGATTTGCTACCATTTGAGGTGTCTCTTTCATAGACACCGACGAATGTACAAATCCTAGATATATACAATTACCAACCACCAATTGGACATCTCGATCCACTTAGGATCTTACATAGAGAAAATTAGCTCCACCAATTTTCATATGTAATCAAAAGACAAAATTCTCTCAGAGAAATATTAAATCCTTATTTAATTTATTTAAATAGGTTAAATATAAAGTTTGAGCCCACTTTATTCAAAAATAAAAAATATGAAGTTTGAATTTAACTTATTTATATTATCAACATTTTCCTTTTATTTACTCCTAAAAACAATTTTTATGTTTTATAATTTAGTATTCAGCAGACATGTTTATGTTACAAAATCAAGTTAAAATAAAAAAGAGAGTAGAAAAGTCTTTAAAACTTGAAGTTAGGCCAATGATCGATGAGTATTAATAAATAAAATTAAAATTCTTTATACAGAATTACAATTTAGTGAGTAATAATACTAAACAAATTATTATTTATACATTTTCTTAAGATGGGATCATTCGCACTCTAAGGGTGTGCATGACAATCATTCTATTCCCTAGCACTGTTTCTGAAAAGAAACAATTCTTTTCTATTTCTGTTCCTTGGAACAGTTTCTGAGAAATAAAATGTGTTTGATAACATATTCTATTTTTATTCCGAGAATGAGAATTGCGTTTGATAACATAACAAATAATATAATAAAAAATAATTCTTATTAAATATAAAAAAATTTCGAATCATCACTTTCATTTCCATATGGTGTGGTTGTGGTGGCGGCGGGGGGTGGCATGGTGGTGGCGGCAGGGGGTGGAATGGTGGTGGCGGCGGCGACGACAGTGACATGGTGATGATAGTGGTGGTGGTTGTGACAACAGTGGCTGCGACGATGGCGGTGATAATGGTGGCGGCGCAGTGGTAGTGGTAGGGATGGTGGTGGTGGAGGTGACGGCAGTGACTGCGACAATGGTGGTGAGGATGGTGGTTGGTGGCGGTGACAATGGTAGCGGTGGCATGGTGGTGGTGGTGGTTATGATGGCATTATGGAGGTGGTGGTGGTAGTGGTTGTGGTGGTAATGACGGTAGTGGTTGTGACGATGGTGGTGGTGGTTGGTGGCGGCGACAGTGTTGGTGGTGGTTGCAGCAATGATAGTGGTAGTTGGTGACCGTGGTGGTGATGGTGGTGGTGGCATTGCGGTGGTGGTAGTGGTGGCGGTGGCGGTAGTGGTTGCGATGATGGCGGTGATAACGGTGGCGGCGCGGTGGTAGTGGTGGGGATGGTGGTGGTGGAGGTGATGGCAGTGGCTGCGACAATGGTGGTGAGGATGGTGGTTGGTGGCGGCGACAATGGTAGCGGTGGCATGGTGGTGGTGGTGGTTATGATGGCATTATGGAGGTGGTGGTGGCAGTGGCTGTGGTGGTAGTGACGGTAGTGGCTGTGACGATGGTGGTGGTGGTTGGTGGCGGCGACCGTGTTGGTGGTGGTTGCAGCAATGATAGTGGTGGTTGGTGACCGTGGTGGTGATGGTGGTGGTGGCGTTGTGGTGGTGGTAGTGGTGGCGGTGACGGCAGTGGTTGCGATGATTGTGGTGGTGGTTGATGGTGGTGGTGATAGTGACAGTGATAGTGGTGGTGGTGGTTGCAGCGGTGGTAGTTGTGGTGGTGGTGATGGTGGCATAGTGGTAGTGACGGGTGGAGGTGGTGGTGATGGTGGCGGTAGCATTGTGGTGGTGGGGGTGCTCACGACAGCGCTAGTGGTACGACGGCGGCGATGATGATTGTGGCAGTGGTCGTGTTGGGATTATGGTGGTGGTGATGATGGTAGAGATGGAAAGTTATTAAGAGAGATAAGTGTTTCTCATTTTTTGCCCGGGAACAAAAAAACAGAAATTTTCTGTTCCCCAGCACAAAAATTAATCTGGTTCATCTCGGGAACAAAAAAATAAACCGGTTTTACCAAACGAGTTTATTATCCATTTCTGTTCCCGGTAATAGAAATTAAAAAAGAATTAATTCCGGGAAGGTTGTCATGCGCACCCTAAATGTACTTCTGCATACTTTCAACTTTTCAACATTTATTCTACTTTCCAAATGTATCCTTATTTAAGAATTTTTTTTTAACGAAATTCAAAATCATTTAAGTTTACTCCCCTCATATACATATCATAAGCAATCCTGAAAACAGATGATGGGGTTATTGGCACTCTAAATATATTTAAGCTTATTTTCCAATTTTCAAATATT